CGGCCGCCGCCGCCTGCTGCTTGCTGCAAGTGGACAGCCGGCACCTGGACGCGTCCGCCCGAGGCGCGGGCCTGGACAACGGCAATTTCCTAGACAATGACCAGTGGCTGAGCACCGTCTCCCAGTACGACAGGGACAAGTACTGGAACCGCTTCCGAGACGTGAGTACCGGGCTCGGCGCTGCGGGGCGGGGCGGATGGGACGGAGTTGGGGCGGGGGTCTCCGGGGGCGGCCGGGGCGGCCAGGCGGGAGGCACTGGGGAGGCTCGGGCCGGGGCGTCTTGCCCGAGAGGAAGTTTAGAGTGAACTTCGAAGGCACGGTGCTCTGTTACCTGTGGTCCAGGTGTGCCATGTTTACAGGAGGCGGGCACGGGAGCGCACTAAAACCTAGCAGGAGCCACAAACAGCTGTGGGCACGGACGCTCCCTAAGCTTCTGAGATCTGCCGGCAATGATCGACTTTGCCAAGGACCAGGTAGAAGCTCCACGGGGCGGCAGTGATCTGGACCTTCCTTGGGCCGTGTCCAAAGCGTCCCTAATGGAAAGGTTCGGTTTGGGGCCCCAGCTCTTTTATTAGGGAGCCAGGTGTTGCGAGGGCTTGAGCAGGTGGGACTGGTGTGCTGGCTGTGGGCTGCTGAAATCTTAGGGAGAATATTTGGCAGCTTTAACCCCTAGAGTCTTTAGCAGAGGGGGAAAGGGACCAGGTGGCCCTTGGAATTTGTCCCCTTCCCTGAAGAAGAGCCCTGGGAGGGGAGAAACTTATTCCTGGGCACCTGTGCTGCCTACTTCTGCCCCAAGGCTGCCTGCCACTTCCCAGGTGTGTGCCCCAGAAGATGGGGCAAGAGACACCTGCTGCCAGCTTCCCAGCAGATGGCATCCCTTTTGTGCCATGGGAGCTGCTACCAGCCCCAAGAGTGCCCCAGGTGGCTGGGGCCACACCTTTGGGGGGCTTGGAAGTTTGATATCATATCGTACTTAACGTTAGGCATTCCTATCCTTGTGATGCCTTAAATATTGTACAAATGTCTAAGGCTTAACGAGAGAAAAGCTTCTGTGTTCACATGCGTTGCTATCTTGTTGTTTTGGAGCAGTTTTTAGCGATGCACTAATGTTTTGGCAGCGTACACTTGGAAAAGAATGACACCTTCATCCATGCCACAAAGCCCCTTGTTCTTGTCATCGTTCATGGTTCATAGGTTCTCTGGAGTGGGAGGTGCGTGGGGGATCTCCATGGGATCGCTCACAGCCCTGTTCCCAGTCTCCCTGCCCTCTCCGGGGGTGCCCTCTGAGGCACTGATGATGTCAGAGGTTTCCTTGTGCTTTCTAAAGAGCACTCTCTGCCGGTCCACTTCCAGAGGACAGATGTGCCCATAGCCTGTGGTAGGGGCCTGCTTATCTCTTTCCTCTTATCCCTCCTCCACCTCTGCTTTGTCCATGTTAAGGGGCTTTCATGTTCACTGGACTTCTACAATTGTTTGGTGCCTTATTCTATAACAGACATGCCCCCTACGACCCTCCCCACGCCAGGAAGACCTTTCCACATCTCACTATGTCCTTGACTTGCTGTTAACTACCCCTCATCCCCTTTCTGTTCAGATCTGAGGGATTCTGCATTGACTACCTTTGCCTGTGGCTGAAATTGGTGCTCAAACCATGAAGCTTTTATTCATACTCACCTAGGGTGGAAGTAATGGTGCTTTTTTTATTATCGCAGTTTTGATAGAGTTGAGGGAAGGGCAAATGCTAAACTCTGCTAGAGGTGGGCGGATTGGGCCATGTCTGGAAAAGGTGACAGCCCCCTTCCCAGGTGCCTTGGCTCTCAGGGAAGCGGGTGGGGTGGGAAACACTTGTGTCCCTGGGGTTTGGTTTGTGGAAGGGGCTGCTCTACTTTCATATCTGCTGTAGGTTTGTATGCCTAGTGCATCATGAGTATACTATTATTAATTCCCATTTAGCTTTAAGTGTTTAAAGAATTGGGTTTCTCTTTGTTTCTTATCTTCCTTATGGGTGGTGCTGACATTTTTATCCTTGGTTGAATGATTGTTTTTCAAACCTAACAGATGATGAAACTTGCCTGGGGTGCTTGCTAAATTATAGCACCCATACTCCTCCCCTGGAGATTCTGATTCCATATTTTGGGGTGAGGGCTAGGTGGAACCTACATTTTAAATAAACATACTTGGCAATTCTTATGTCTAGGAAATACTGCCTTAGATATTGTATATATCTCCACGGCTTAACAAAAAGAGAAAAACTCTTAAGTTTAAGTTCATGCTTCTTGTTTCTGAAAGTTTTATGTGTTAAACTAATTACTTTTAGCAACATATAGTTTGTTAAAGACAATACCTTGATCCAGCGTAGCAATAAGCACATCTATCTAGAAATGTTCAGAAATATCTTAGACCTCCTCAGTCATCAACCATGTCATATGCATCACAGAGTCTTCTGATACCAGCAGTGTCTCAGACATAATTTAATGCCATTGACCTCTTCAAAGTGCTGTGAGGCTCAGACTAGATAACACCCTAAAGGCAAGTCCCATTGTCTTCAGTTGGGCCATTTACTTGGAATAACCACAAAGCCTGAGTCCTCTGGGACCAAGGAGGAAAAGATCACTTTCTTTAGAAACAGGCCACTCCGAGGACAGGACACAAAGCGGCAGCTCGTGTTGCATGTGCTCAGCCAGCCCAGTCATTTTCACTGAGGAGCGTGACAGAGCCCCAGCTTCTTTGCTATTGTTTGGGCTTTTTGTTTTGTATTTTAAAGCCTCTGATAACTTTGAAGGGCCATGTCCTGAGATTAGTGTGACGATGCTTGTCAGTTTCTGAAATCTGGTGTGAAAGAAAACTTCTTCTTCAACTTGTTACTTTGTTGTGCTTGTGGGAGAGAGGTTGAGAAATGATTTTGGGACCCAAAATGGAAAGTTAAGAGCTCTTTGTAGAGAGGTGTCTGTACCCATTGGTGGTCGTCACTGGCCAGTTTTGAAGTGGATATATGGTGAGATGTGTGCTGTGCCCCTTTGACTGTGGAGTGTGCTAGGGCTTTGCCTGAGATGCCCAGCAGCCTCTGTTGACTACTTTGAATGTGTCTTATTACTCCAGGTGCACAGATAGCCACTAGTCTCTGGTACAGAAGTAAAACCTTCAGACCTACTTCATGGTTCGTTGCCTATAGTTATGGATCTAAGGGAACTGTAGCAACATTCAGATGACTGATTCTGAGTGCATTTGTGATCTGTTATTTGGTCATTATTCTTTCATAAGCACTAGCAATTCTGATGTTTTGGACAGATGGAGGCCTCAACTTTTGCACAAATACAGTATCAAGAAGGAAGAGAGGCAGAAGTTAATGCTTGCAATATTTGTGTTAAGTTGTATAATAATTTCTTATCTTCAGTTGTCATATACAACTCCATGGTTTGAGGTCAAGATGCATGAATATGATATGGATTTTTTTTTTTGAGACAGGTTCTCGATATGTAGTTCAGGTTGGCTTCGAACTCAGGGTGATCGTCCTGCCTCAGCCTCCCAAGTGCTGGGATTCCAGGTGTGCACCACTATGCCTGGCATGATATGGTTTTTGGTGACCATTGTTGGAACGGGAATTTATTCTGTTCATTTTTACACTCATTTATTCCAGCAAATAATTGCCTGCCCGCCATGTGCTAAGCACTGGAGTATAAAGGTGAACAGAATTAATCTATTTTGTCATGTAATCTCCTGTCTGCTGTTTACTTATGCTGTCACACATTTCTTTATTCACTCTTCTTTTTAAAAAAATATTTATAAGACTCATTTATGTTGGTGGTAATTAAATGATTGAAGCATTGGAGAAATAGATAATAGCTTACTCTTATGGGGCACTTAGTATGTCACGAATATGTCACCAATAGTTTAAGGTATATCCTGTATCATTTCACTTAGTATTCCTAACAATCCTATGAAAGAAGTACTGTTACTATCATTCTCTCCTTTCTGGCAGGTTTAACTCTCTTCACCAGAATTAGGTGCGGAGGTGCAGAGCTGGGGTTTGGAAGAGCCTAGGTGCTGCAGCCAGACAAGGGCTGAGTGGGTTTCATGTGTGAGCCTGCATTCATACCACGTGGCAAGTGCCCTGCTTAATGCCTGAAGGCCATCAGCAAAGAACCCTAGGTTGCTGACAAAGTAGAGTAGGAAGCCAGGTTAACATGACTGATGGGGAGGTCATGTTAGGCCTTATCTTCTCTTAATAATGAGCTTCTGATTTGATGCAAATAATATTGTTGCTTACACTAAACATGACACTTTTCTTTTGCACATATGAAACTAGCCCTGACATTTAACGCCAGGATAATTACCTTCAGCAGGCTCCAAGGGTCAGAAGTGCTGCCTTGGCTGGCATTTATCTTACTCCTGAGTGGCCTGGATTTGTGATCCTAATGAGAGCTCCAGGACCAGCCCTCGTTCTCCTTCCTTCAGGTGCAGACTCTGTGGAAACGGGTGGTCTGTGTAGCAGAACCGGGTTGGCTGTGAGCATTGGATCTGCTCGTGTGATCTTAGCATCTCAGCTATAATGAGTTTCAAGGGCAGATGGGACTTATTGATAGAACAGGGGCTGGCCCAGTGGGTAGGACTGGTGACAAGGGAGGCGGTAGGGCTTAGGGGATCAGTCATTAATCTGTCACCACCTAAACTCGGCTTGTAATGGAGAGCAGCAGAAAATCGTTTTGATTAAACCGGTTCAAGGAGACTTAAATGAGTTTGTGATCCTGGCTGTCTTTAATGAACCCGCTATCTTAAATCCTGTGTACCAGATGACCACTGATAGAAATAATTATTTAGCAAGGATCATTACAGAGGAGCAGTTTAAAAGTTGATGGGCCTAAGACTCTTGTCTGCTCTATCGTTTTCTTCAGTTTGCCCTTGCTGGAAAGAAGTAGGTCTTGCCAGGCAGGTGTGGCAGAGTTCTTCTGGGCCTCCCCAGCCCCAGGCCAGAGAACTTCCAGTGAACCGCTTCTTGGGAGGGTGAGTACTCTCCTAGATGCTGATGAGGCTGTTTTCAAAACCAAAGGAGTAGCTCCAAGCGGGTAATTGGACCTGTAATGTTCCCCTAGAGGAATGGGATCTAAACATCAGCACAACCCCTTGCTTGAGAAGACAAAGTAATTTCAGTAATTAAATATTT